GCAGTGACTGCTCGTGATTGAATGCACTCCGCTCAGATAGCGATCAGGCTATAGTTCACAGTACTCGATCGTCCGTTCACCCGATCACGGCGGAAGAATACCAATTATGAAACTATATGTAGATGAACGGGGAACGGCGTCGAAAGCCTCTCGCTCTGTAACACATCATTTTCTGCAGACATGTGTGCGCGTGATTCAACAGCTTTCCTCTCTAGAAAAGCTCGACCGCCTCAGTGGGTTGGATCCACTAACATTGTTCTCGAAGCGGACCGCTTGCTCCAGACATTTCGAATCTTCGTGATTCATGAGTTGGATATCCATGGATATATACGACGGAGTCGAGGAACGATTCGCGAAGGACCAAACCTTCGAACGATTTGAACGGTTCTGCTTCGTTCGGATTCCAGCATGAAATTCATTCCTTTCCTCAGAGATCGACCGATATCCACTGACGAGACCCACCTTCTGATGAGTTATTCCTGCCGACCTGAAAATCAGACCAACTGGACGAGCTCCGAAACTGAAGACTAAGGGTTCGATTCCACGAGGATCCCTCGGGCGGAGTTCGGATGTGATTATCAGTCTCGTCTTTCCTCTATGTATCCCCGACCAGCAATCGGCATCCTATCATGCGGTTGTTGAGGGGACACTCAGGGACCGGGAGTAGACAAAGTGTGAATAACTAGTCACGCATCGAAGCGCCGAAACAAACCAGCGCACACCTGCTCGCTGCCGCCGGTTGTCCGGCCGAGCGGCGACTCCCCGTAGCTGTAACAGTTACTGAGGGATGGATGGAGCGAAAATACAACAAGCTGGAATAACAGAGGCTCCGCACCATTTACGCAATAGTTTTAACGCGTTGCCAATCACGTTCGTGCGTGGTCACTGCGCCCGCCAAGGAGGCTATATAGCTGGTTGGCCGGTCGGTCGGCTTGTCTGCGCGAGTCGCTAGCTCGCCGGCCGGAACAAGTGGCCGCTAATTGATTGTCCGCTCAGACTGACGTGGGAGGATTCAGTCAAATCCGATACGGGCCGAATCCTTCTTGTTTTCGAGCCCTGGGAAAAACGGCCGAGTGCCCGAACCAGCCGAGACAGATACTGTTTTCGATAATCATTCGAAACCGATGCGGTGCATCGAACCGCGGTGGCTGTGTTTGTCCTAGTGACTATTCTTCTCTCCCGGGCCCGAGATGTAGAACTGCAAGTTTGCATACGCTCGGCGGCGCGGAGTGGGCGAGTCGATGACACAGTTCCGACCGCTACGACTGTACAATCGAAACGCGCTCGAAGTGTTCGCCTCCCTCCCTCCGTCCGATGTGTGAGTGACCCACACCGAACAGAGAAGTACCTGACACAGTATCCTCTTATCGCTCTTTTGGAAATCTTCCGGTCGCTGGAAGAGAAACCGAGTCCCGTGAAAGTCTGTCCGTAGACAGCCTGGGTCGTGATCTCGTGCGATACGGAAACTCGACTGCGACCTCTATTGTCTCATAGATTCATCTCGATGAATGCTATTGTAGCTCACACGTCGAACGCAAGCGCGCGAAACAGACAGCGGCCGCAGCAGTTTATACAAAGACTCTCGATATCGAGCAGCGGTATGACAGGAGGCTAGTCTGGGAATCCTAGGCCGTCGCCGCCGGCACCGCCGACGAGCGGTTGAATGACCTCCGAGGACGCCGAGATTCGCAGTTCGTGAACGCAATTTTTGAGCATCGTGTCATCGCAAGTCGCGGCGGACATTCGCTTCGCTGCAGCGGTTTCTGTCGCCAGCGAATCTATGGAAAAGGGAAAGGTTAATGGTGAATGGTTTATTGTGATCTAGATTGGGGTGTATATCTGTTTGTTTGTATATACATAGTCAATCAGCCTTTCATATCAGGCGCGAAATTCGGCAGATCGTTGTTTGTCCCAGTCCTCCAGGATTCTTTTTGTCCTTCTTACTTCGGTTGCATTGTTTGCTTCTTCGTGGAGTCCGAGACGACACAGGAGTTCTTCTCCCGTGTGGTAGATGTCGTTGCATTCGAAGATGACGTGTTCCATCGTCTCTTCGTAGATGCAACACCTGGGACAGGTTCTGTCGATTCCGGGGTACATCTTGTGGGCTCTGGTTGGCAACATGTTGGCTCTGGCCAAAGCTAGGAGGGCGCTTCCCTTACTGTTATCGTAGGTGAAGCTA